GGTCGAAGTGGCCATTTGGAATGAGCTGTATATTAGGAAACCGTCCTCCGTAAGGCAAACTCAAAACTACTTTCGCTAGGTGCCGAGCGGTTTTGTGGGGGGAGTTACAAGGCCATTTTCCTCCGGCGCAGCCAGCGCACCCAGTGATGGGCGAGGCGCTAGAATAACGCAGCAGTGTGGCAGTGGCGCAGTGGCAACGCAGCGGACTACGAAGCAGATGGTCGAGGGTTCGAGTCCTGTTGCTGTTAATTTGTTTTGCAGTTCTGTAAAAAGTCTATTGGGTGACAGCAAACGAGAAATACTATTTCTAGGCAGTCGAAACAGCTATTTACTGCAAAAAAGTCACTATTTCTACAATAAGCTTCAATCTTCTACAATATGTCAATCTGTGGAGGTTAAGATGTCACAATAATGGATTCAAATGATATACTAACATGTATGGAATACAACCACAAAATGCTCGAAGCAGAAGAGCTTCTCGCAGGGCGCGCACTTGCAAATTTGCAATCGATTGCAATCAGCGCTTCATTACCTATCAAGGCAGAACCACGCAGGTAAAGGCAAGTGCCAAGTATGCGCATATAGCAAAAAGCTCCGCTGCCAATCATTACGATGTTCTCGCCACAGCTTGTTGTCTCGTACCTTTCGGAAGAATTCGGGCCGTGTGACATCTCCCGAAAACCGACACGGATGGAGCAAAGAATTATTGACAACTTCTCTCGCATTTTGCGGGAAGCGTTATACGATAATCTGGCAATTGACTGCGAGGAAGATGAAGTTATAGAAGATTACGAAGCAGATCCAACATGGTCGGAAGAAAACGATGAGAATGTCCCACCTAAAGGGCAAGGCTCAATTCTGTTTGGAGAAACGCAGGTTTCAGAAGAAATGGTTGGTGCCCAAAAAATGACATATTTGCAAAATGATTATTATCGTACAGGTGGACAAAGCCATTTCCTATTATCGCTCGGCGGAAAAAGGCAGCAGATCGCTATCGAGCATGCATAAAAGCTTCCGATTTGTTAACACTCCGTATCACCTTTTGAAGTTGAGGGAACTTGAAAAAAAACGTAGGTCTATTTCTGTAGTCAACTGTTGAAAAGTTCTCGAAATTTAGAGGTGGACCGCGCTGACCGCGTATTGCGACTACGACAGCTGAAAGAGAAATTAAGAGAAGTGGTTAAAACGAAGTTCGACGCAGGAGTGTCATTACATGATAATGACTTGCGCCAAATGGCTCTGCGTATCAATCAAGAAGAGTTCCATCTAGAAAACTTTACGGCGAGCCATAGATGGATTCAAGGTTTCAAAAGGTGTAGCGGCATTGTTACAAGACGAATTACTACCTGTATATCCAAGAAAAACTTGTTGGAAAGCGATGTGCTCGCTGAATCAGCTCGCAGATTCGTCAGGGATGTAAAAAAGGTAGTTCTTGTTTAGTGGCACAACAATGTTACACATTTGGAGCATATTTCAGAGATGGAAAATTGGACTTTGGACTGCATTTGCAATGCAGACCAAAGTGGGTTTGTAAAAGAGATGCACCCTGCTAGAACTTTAGCTGAAAAAAGCGCAAAGAAGGTCGTGAGGGTAGTGCAATCAGTGGCCGCAACTGCTCATTCGTTTACCATAATGCCCACGATCTATGCAGACGGCCACCTAGGGGAAAAATTATTTGTAGTTCTACAGGTAATTAATTGCAGACAGTTGTGAATAATTTTACAACATCTCACAATAAATTCACAGGAAAGGCAAGGTTGTTTCCCTGGAAGAGGGCACTTTGAAGCTGATAGCCTGGTACTTCGTGCGAACACCACGCACATGATGAACAAGGAACTTTTGCTTGATTGGGTACGATCCTGCATAGTTCCGTCTACTACGAATGCGACTCTTCTGATAGTAGATTCTTGGACATCATTTAAAGACCATGATGCAATTCAATCAGCTATGCCCGATAATAAGTCTGTAAAAATTATGAACATTCCGCCGGGTACAACCTCCAGGATTCAACCATTAGACGTGCATTTCTTCTTGCCTTTCAAGGCAATGTACAAACGCTTCACATCCCATGTATTGGCTCTCGATCTGAACTTTACCTTGCATCATAGGGATTCCATTCTTAAGATTCTATCGCTCATTTACACACAGTTTTGCTCGCCGCGATTCAAAAATTTCCTTTCATACCCATGGCATGCAGCCGGATACATTGATAACCACCCCGGCGTATTCGAGTCTCCTATTCAGTACTGTTTTTCACCGACTTTGATAGGCAATTGTGAAGCTACTGATTGTCATCGTTTATATTTTATCCGATGTGCGCGCTGCGAGAAGCTCTTCTGCTTCGAGCATTTTGTGGTTGTATTCCATACATGTTAGTATATCATTTGAATCCATTATTGTGACATCTTAACCTCCACAGATTGACATATTGTAGAAGATTGAAGCTTATTGTAGAAATAGTGACTTTTTTGCAGTAAATAGCTGTTTCGACTGCCTAGAAATAGTATTTCTCGTTTGCTGTCACCCAATAGACTTTTTACAGAACTGCAAAACAAAATAACAGCAACAGGACTCGAACCCTCGACCATCTGCTTCGTAGTCCGCTGCGTTGCCACTGCGCCACTGCCACACTGCTGCGTTATTCTAGCGCCTCGCCCATCACTGGGTGCGCTGGCTGCGCCGGAGGAAAATGGCCTTGTAACTCCCCCCACAAAACCGCTCGGCACCTAGCGAAAGTAGTTTTGAGTTTGCCTTAGGACGGTTTCCTAATATACAGCTCATTCCAAATGGCCACTTCGACCGAGTATCCTTCCCTTGTTAGATTTAGTAAATTTGAAATATCTGAATACTTGAAATTTATGTCTCACAAATAGTCAAGCAAATATCTCGAGTGTATGCACACACAATCAAGATAGCAAAACTATTTTGAGTTTACTTTCTTGCACTAAGGTGTTTTCGCTGTCTTTCATTTGCTTTTGAGTAAGGAAATATTATATCACCTGGAACACCACTGAAATTTTTCGTTTTTCATTTAGCACTATGTCAGAAAAGATCAAAAATGTCAGGAAAGAACAAAGATCAAGATCAACACTTTTGCTAATAATGGATCATTTCAAAAGGTGCTACTTGCTAACTTACTGTCGCGTCACTTTGGCCAAGTCTTTTTGTAGCATTATTACCCGTCTGTAACCTACCCCTCTTCCTTTACGCATCAATCAGAAAATTATGCCTTTAGTTCGACTAAAGGCACTGTCTCGCCAAAATTGAGGTAATGCGAGTCTTTATCGTATTCGTTAGAGAACCCCTTAGATAAGCTACTGCTCAACTCCAACTCAATCCAGGCCTTTCTGCGCCGAGAAATCTGCCATTAAATTGACCCGCAAAGCACGATTGCTCGCACGGCCCACGTTCCCGGTTTCCCTCTTATGCGTTTCAACATGTCTCTCCATTTAGCTCTTCCTTCAAAGTGTCAGCCCATGTGGCGAAGCCTACGCTGAAAACGCACAACTCGTCTCCGTTGCTTCCATAGGGCTTTCAAAAAACGGGGTTTTTGTACACTTTATGCAATTTTGAACCAGCAATGATTTAGACAGAAGCGAAAATGCTTGCACTATGCAAAAATCTCGGTAACCACACTTTAGTGAGACACGAAAATGTAAGTATATAGTGAATCATGGGTCAATTGCCACGTGGAACAACGTGACCCACATGGTGGGTCAAGGCTTAAATTTTTTCAAATTAATTACAATTAATGGGTACACTGTGTTTTATGAGCTCTTTAACTCTCTGACTTTAAGGATACTTTGCCGTTTCTTGGCTGCTTTTAGAGTTTGTGTAGGTGTAGTATAGATGAGGATCTGCCTGATTTTAGCTAGAAAGTTTCACGCTATTTTTGGAAAGCATCCACAAGGCAGACAACTAAAAATGCGCGTTGTTCTCAACTGTTGAAGGATGATACACCCACAGTCTCATGTACAGTTCTTACAAGGCAAGGATACTTTGCCGTTTCTTGGCTGCTTTTTAGAGTTTGTGTAGGTGTAGTATAGATGAGGATCTGCCTGATTTCAGCTAGAAAGTCAGTCAAAGTGGCTTTTTGCGATGATTTGTATGGGATGTTGAAGGGTGTAAAATGCTGATTCCAAACCTGTACTCCTTATCTGCGGTGCGTTCCTAAACGAGGAGTTACGAGCGATGGATGTTGTTTTGGGATAAAAGCAGTTGCTAAAATTTTCCCAATAAATGAGACAATGGGAGTGCGGATATATCTCATGTAAGGATATCTATTTTACAAAGTGCTGGAAAGCTTACCACTGGTCCATTTAAGCGCTAGGAAGACTGTTACTGCTGTTTTTGTATTGAATGCACATTCAGATTACTCTCCAATAAACGCTCATAAATTCTCGTGCAGGAACACGCCGCAGATATTGAAGAAAGATTTGGAATTAGCTTTTTATGCCCTCCAGCATGGTATACAACCCATCTCAAAAGGCCACTTCAACCAATCAAGCTTCCCTTGTAAGTTTCCCTTCTAGTAGCTTTCTGAAACCAATCTTTTCCTATCTTAGATTAGATAGCCAAGTATCTCTCTGCTACTAAATCACAGTTCGTTTAGCAGCGAAACATTACAAGCGTGACCCACTGTTGAAATTAGCTTGCAATAACGAGCAAACCAGTCAAGAACTAGCTCAAAATTGTAGCAAAGATGCACTCTGTATGTTATTTGTAAACGCTGTGAAAACTCCCATAATCAGATAAACTTATTGCGCAGATGTTGTTTTTACCCCAAACTGTCTCTACTTGTTGTGCGAAGCCTCTACAAATAGCAGACCATCAATGCTAGTTGCTCCTTTCTAAACGCTCCTACGATTTGCATCTGCTTCGTATGGCGATAGTATGAAATCAATAACAATACAAGGGTAATTGGAGAATAGCAAACGGAAATTAAGTTATCCGAAATATTACAATTTTGACATTTTCTGCGATTTTAGTGGCAACTTGTCTTAGCCAGTAACTTTCCTGACCTCGTTTATTTTGTTCATGATGCATTTGCTGCAGTTCAATGAACTCAGCCGCAGTTGATGATATCGTGTTTGGTTGATGTGTTGCTAGAAATATAGAGGATTACTGAGAAAAACGGCAAGATGCTTACATACCTCCCAAGTAACTACGAACTCATCACCAGGAGAAAGACTCAGTTGCAGTCTTCTTGCAAGCTTCGCTCCAACGTTGAATGGAGGTGTATAGTAAGGCATCTCGATAACTATATGTGGTTGCTTAAAAAATTCTCATGTGTTTGAAAACCTCCTTGAAACAAATATTGACTAGTGAACGCTCTTTCATAACCAAGGCGATTGCCAAAAAATAATGGGAAAAACTTAGAAAAAAATGAGAAGTAAACATTGTTGCTTGTGAGTAACTACTGATATCGTAAATCTGAATTTTTCCCTTTAATAGATCGTTTTCCTCTGCACATAAATACAGAAATACCTGATAAAGTCAATGTTCTCTTGTAATTCCTTGTAGATTCGATCTTTGTTAAGATCCTTAACAGGAGCGACAAAAGGAATCTTCAATAAAAACATCATGAACGTGCGATTTTTCATGCAAGGAGATCTTGTGAGCAAACTTACAAGGTGTGATGCATATACAGTACAATGTCTGACTCTTCATGTTGCACAACCTTCCTCGTTGCCTCCGTGAAATCTGGACACCAGTTTGATAGAGGTGTGCATGCTATCAAACACAAAATCTTTAGTGAGCTAATAGGCAGGAAACTCCAACAAAAAAGTATTAGGTTAGTAAATAAGTAATGCGCGTTTTTCTAACCCTTGTTTTAGGACAACGTTTCTCCATCAAACTTTCTCCTTTGAAAAAAAAAACCTTGTGTACTTTCAAGAAGCTCATTTCATGCTCTATCCAATGATGGTTGAAAGGAGCTCTAACCTTCATTCGTTAGAAGTTAATAGAGCTTCATACAACCGTGCTTGAAACCAGAATTATATCATTTACTTTTTTGGCCAGAATTCAAGAGCGAACAAAAGCGTTCTTTTAAAAATTTAAGCATGTGAAATTGTCTACATTACATACCTTACTGTTTCCTTAGAAATGACCTAGATTGACATTTCGGCGACTCAACATGAGTCGTGGTTTTGGCCATTCTGTAGTCCATAGATTTCTTTAAAGAGAGCATTCACCAAAGTTTTGCTCATTTCTGTAAGTGTAAGCGTGGGCCTCCTGTTGACAGTTTTTACAGAAATGTGGAAGCTCTTCAGTACACAGAAAATCAAAAATCTCCATGAAAAATGCCCAAAAAAGCGGACAATGTTAAATATTAATTTTTTTCGCAAATCTTCTTTGTTTGAGCCCCTTTCGAATTTTTTCTACTACTGGTTTGCGTTCACAAGACAGGGCTACTCATCACTCACACTAACAAATTTTTAAGGGAGTTATGATCAGTTGAAAACGGGGTTTCAGAAAAAAACTTTTTTGCTTATCCATCCATATTTTTGTGCTCATTGGTGATGAGGCACAGGTGGATGTGCGCTGTATTGAGAAATATATGGTGCCTCTTATAGTTTCTACCGCACTGAAGAATGTGGATTTTTTAGGAAGTTATAGCACGTCAAAGTGAAAACTCGCAAAACGCGCATTACTTTTGCACCAACCTAATAGTTACACAACTCATCAAAAACGAACTGCTTATTGAAAAAAGCCTGAGGCTGCGATAGCGTCCTTTAAGTATATCGTGAATCAATGGGTATGCTCTATAAGCAATAGAGTTTCCGAGGACCAAGATCTTGGCAGTGGCATTTCCTTTCTGAAAAGAGGAAAGAACTATCAAAGTTATTAGAAAGATTACGCTCAAGCCTTCAACGCTTACTGACTCCAGTTTTCGTTGCAGGCGCGTGCATCTAAATGGCACCAATGGAATATGTTTTCTACGTGAAGAATCAACCGCATTTTTAGCAAGGATAAATCTTTTGTGTAAGGGAAAAAACGCAGAAAGACGGCCTACGAAAGCTGATCATGTCCTGTATACCCATTAACAGTGAATCATTACCTTACCTTTGAAAAGCCCAAAAACATCTTTGCATCGTGTTTTCAAACTTTAATTTGGATATGATATGACTTTTAGTTGTGAAGTTGAATTACATTGGAGATACGTTGTTTGAAAGCTTCTTTTGTGCTTTAGGCCTAAGGCATACCTCCCACGATTTCGCGAATTCGCCACATCCACGCGATCTGCCAGTTTGCCAGATGTCTATAGATTAACCATGCGCGGGGCTCACATGCATGGGCGCACGGATTCCTAAGTTGTAGCAAATACACCAAGTCTGGCCCAAGTAAAGTACATTTACGACCAGTTATGAAGTGCAGTGCCAGATCGCGCAGCGACTAAAATCGCGTGAGGTATGCATTACCTTATAATTCAAGTGGCAGAAGCCTATTCTTGGTACCCATTTTACTTCGTCTCATGAAAAGCTCAGAAGCTGGAAGCAACAGGTTTTGTTACAGGATTTTTACACTTCCTTATGTCGAACAATAAGCATCCCATGCACTCAGCTCACTTACAGCGACGCATCTCATCTCAGGCTCTTTATAGTAATTCGTGTGCGACTGAGTGTCCCAATCTTCACTGCACGGCATCACGATATACCCCATACGAGATTCTCTCAAATTCTATTCAATAGCGTAGTCCATTCTTAAAGGGGTTTCAGTCAATAAAGCTATCACAATAACCTGCAAATTGTGTGCAGTACTTGATATGTTTGGATTGATGCTTTCGAGCGGAGGAGCGTAAAGATACATAGACTTAGTGCCAAGAATGCATGCATAGCAGGCAATCACGCAAAGACAAGCCGTTATGATTCCCTTATCGAATGTTTCTTGTTCATATGTCAGCGCTAAGAATTTGATTTTCTTTGGCTTTCATTCATAGCAACTAAATTTGACAATATTGAGAATGCCTCAAAATCAAGACTGACTTTATCGTCAAAATATGTATATCTGTAACCTAAGCAGCATTTTCATTTCCCGATCAATATATGTATGTGATGGCTTATTCCGTAATACTTTTCTTAATAGGTTGATCACAGAAGAGGGTCAAATCCAGATCTGTTTTTGTTGCTTAAGATTGAAGTGCTTTGTAAGCACTGCAGAAGCTCTTTTTCTTCATGTTAAAATCATCGAAAAGTTGCTGTTCCTTCTTTTCGAGTGCTTTGCTATCAGGTTGATGCGTAAATCTCAACGAAATTCTTGGCTAGCAGCACCAGAAGCGATGAAAAGGTGCGTTTATGCAATTTTTTTGCTTAATTGTGTGATATAGAGTTTTATAAAAAACCAACGGGTCATCGAGTCTTCTCGATCTACCGCTAGCTTCTCCTCCTCCAGCGCCCGTTGACGATGAGGGCTACACGATAAGGGAGAAGGAAAATAACAAAGAGGGTACAGGTTGGTCATCATGTAGCAGCAGCGATGGAGAAGTAGCGTTTTCGTTTCCAGGATGAGAATACCTTACAGCAGTCTAAAATTCGAAGCTTGACCATCTGACCAGCGGATCCAGCCAAGGGGGTGAATCCATCTGTGGATGAACTGCGAGATGCTATTGCGCATATCAATATATGTAGGAGTAGTACTTTTGACAAAGTGAGAATTGCGCTGTTTTTTTTAATTGCCTTCTTTGTTCATGGGTCTTTTTTCATCATTTTTTCATAAAAGTGTACACTCTGTTTCACTTGGAGTGAGCCCGACTCGAGCGGCTTACATTTCCCGCAACCGCCTCGCTTAGTCTTTTTTTGTGAACGCGCCCCTGATTTTCCGCCTTTGATTAATGATTAAAGCTGGGCCTCTTCCACGCTCAAATGTGGGAAAATGATCGAAAAACACCGCGAAAAAGGTGCAGAAGGCAAGGCGGTTGCGAGAGATTTGAGCTGCTCGTGTCGGACTCACTCCAGGTGACACAGAGGGTAGAAATGTTCGAAAGTTTGAAGTTATTTTTGTTTTGCATGTACCCGTTACGGTTCAAATAGTTTCGAAGAACAGTTGCCTCTTTGAGACTGCTCTAGTTTTTATGGTAGCATACTCAGGACCGTGGACACTTGGTGGTCAAATCGTCCACCTATGTTTTCACAATCATTAAGTGGCGATTGCTTGAAGCCACTTCGACCATGTCACACTACTGATGGTCGATTCAGATCGACTTTCAATGGTATTTCGTTTCTACCATAGATTTTGGCTTTCTTTACTTCACTCCGTTAAGATGATTTATGGTACATTTTTTATTCTTTCATGCTTCTGTAGTTATGGTATATAATGACTTATAGTGCTAGTATCTTCTACGTTACGACCTATGCGATGATGCGCGGGTCAGTCAGTCAGCCTCCACTTTACATCACTACATATTGGAAATGTGAAGAGGTAGGTACATATAGGTAGGCATGGGTTTGATATAGTTGACTCTTTTTCGTTTTTTGTGCCATTCGTCATAGCCCGCATCCCTAATCATTTGTTTCTTTTTCTCTCTCCCTTTTTTATTGGCTTTCTTTTTGCTAAATTGGCTGTTTTTCCAAAAAAGTATACGCTGCACCAAAAGTCTCGTACATTTTAGATGTTTTAATCGACTAACAACGAGTGCCCCATAACAACCCCGCTATTGAATTTAGTCTTCACAACTAAAGAAGTCAACAGTGTGACATCCGATCCAACAGCTACTTGGTCAGTTTTGTTTTGCTCTATAAATTTTTTTTGATATTAAAAGTGCTGTTTAGGTCAGCTGACAATAGTACATTATCTTGGACCATCACGGAACTCTCTAGGCAACGAGATGGTGCAGGGTCACTCAAGGGCACTGAACACACTGGCAGCCCGTCATTAACCTCACTGCAGCGATCTCTATGTCTTAAATGAACTGTTTTTGTTTTTTTCGTCAATAAAAGTTGTTCTTTAGGTAAAGCGTTCACTGCGCAATCAATGGGGTCAGTTTTTGGGTCAAAGGGGAATTCGTAAAAAATTTTGGGTCAAAGGGGAATTCGTTTTCGAAAACCCCTTTTGCCGACCTCGTGCCGGGCCTGGTTTTATGGAATTTATATAGAATGAATGCGAATTAGGTTGGCTAAACAGCAACCTCGGTTCTTAACACTTTTTCAAAATGTCGCAAATTTATCTGTGTAGAATGTGTGGTGCCAATGGAAAGAGAAAATCAGGGAAAATCAAATGATAACTTCCATATCTTTAAAATTCATTGAGTGGGGAA